TGTGGCCAATTTACATAAAAAAATAGAAATTACTTTTATATCTGCATTGTAAATGAAATGTCATCAAATAAAAGTATTAAAACTGAGGATAATATAATTTTAAAGACGAATAGAAGAATGTTATGCTATTACTTCCCTATTAAATATCTGAACTGTGGAACAAATTGTTCAAAGCCGGCATGTATGCCAATCATACTATAAATATTTAAAATGCTATTAATATGTGGTGGAAGACGTATTCAGATCATTTACTTAAATAAAAGTAGCAATATGGTGATGTAAAACTATTCCATTACAACTAAAAGTCTTGTATCAAAAGTAAAAAACTCATTGTGGAGAATGTCCACAATGAAAGTTGGAGATAACTTTAACTGCTTCATATACTGGTAATCCAATCTATAGCAATGCATCATATTTTATTGAGTGATTCCATGTTTTGCATGCAGAAAAAACTTAATCCCAAAATTGACTACATTGATTAACTGTTGGATAAATGTAGTGGAGTATAAGGTTTGCCTCTGAGATGTAGTGAAGTAGTACGTAGCAGAAAAAGAAAATATTCTGAGGTACTTGTAACCTCAGAATTTAAAGAAACGGTATTTGAATAAATGTAGTTACATTCCACCCCTGCCAATAATATAACACATACTATGTTGATGTTTTCCACAGGAAACAAAGCATCAGCTCCAAAACAATGGAAGATTGAGTAACGTGTGACGTGGATCTTGAACGGAGTGAATTCACAAAGCCACGTATTCCAGTGACGCAGCTGGGAAGTTGTCCATTAGTGTATATTACACTGATAAATAGATAAATTGTTTTAATGTAAACATTTTTGTTTCATTTTCACATGTACTGTACAGTCATCTTAGATATATAAATATATAAGATTACCTAATTTATATAAATGAATGTATATCATTACTTGCTGTGTTTAGCTCTACAACACTGTTGTTTATTTATGATATATTATTACTGAGGGCTTATGATATGAAATGAATAAATGTTGTAGAGGTTGTTTGGTAGACCATATAAATGTGTGTGCGGTGTGTTTCTTTGCTACAGTAAAATAAGTAACACAGAGGAGTGGACACTGGTAATGCAGATTTAATAATCAAAAAGCTATCCAAAAAAATATATTTTTTAATGTACACTTATTTGGTCTTCTACAGAGCTTTGAATGACACTGTATAGCAATGACAGGGAGGTTTCTGTTGAGTCTTGTCCCCTCTAGTGGTCAGTTGTGTTATTAGCTTTGTAACAATACAACTACAGAAGAAAAAGTGCTTCAATTGTGTTCTCCTCAACATTTTTAGACATCCCCAGAGGGTTGTATAACAAGGTTAAATTACACTTGGAACATTTGAGTGGGACTATTCAGCAAAAAAGTGCAAATCCAGAATTTGAAAGGGTAAAATCTGAATTTCATACACCTCACTTCCCCCACAAGTGTGGGTATTTCTTGCAGTGCTCAGGTAATAACAAATAAAGATCAAAATAAAACATTTACATCATATACACGCCTCTATCAATTCTTGTACCAGGACATCAGGACAATTGAAAACACGTCTTATATCGTCCCTAAAACATACTCAAAGCTGTTAGTAGAGTGCCATGTCACTACAATTGGTGTCCTGCTTTAATGAAGGATTAGACCTCAGAGACTGCACTGCATTTTGTCAACAAATAAATCAAAGAAAAAACATGGCTCAGAGCTTCTTTCAGGTAAGCTTTCATTTTCAAAGCAGCAACATGTAAACATCACATCTGAATAGGCAGCCCTTTCCAAATTGTTTTCTGATACAAGAATAAATGTGACATATAACTTATGCATGAGTCAGTTGTTCGTGTTTATGCCACATCCACTTTGCCTTGCATACTTCCAGTCAAATATATCAAAGTAACAGGAATACAGGTGCACACGTTCAGGAATTGAGGTGTTTGTTAAGAGGCACTATAAGGAGACCTCTGTGGTTGTGCTGGGGTTTTGGCTGGGAGCTGGACTGGATGGGCAGGAGGTCTCTGGACTCCCAGGGGTCCGTATGGTAGTTTTCCGTTTCCCATTCCGCACCGTAAGTTCCTCTTTGGGCTTGAAAGTCAGAGGCACGAAGCCGTCCGCATCTGCCACAAGTACAATCCACAATGGACCTGGACAAACAACACAAAGACTATTAGCTAAGCATGGTTCTCTATATATTTGAGCTAATTATTAAATTAAGTGAAAAATATAGTTTGTGATATAGCTATTACTTGCTGCCGTGTCTCTGTTTAGGGACAGTTAGTCTTTGCTACCGCAACAAAACACTACGCACATTAAACAGTGGTAAGCCGCTTTTGTTTAAAACCTTGTAATCTGACCTGGGCTTCTAATCACTTCCAATTATAGTTTACGCATGTCAACAGAAGAACAATGCTAGACAATGTGCAGTACAGTAAAACATGAGGTTCTTTATCAATTCAAATTCTGAATGGGTGACGTAAAGGTTTAAAAAAGCTACCAAGAGTAGCGAGAGTTCCACTTTGGACAACCTATCTGATGACTTGCAGGGGAAGGCCATCACACAAGCTTGCTGAAAATACTCACAAGGGGAGACCTTCCTAATAGGCCTACAAGGAGTTTTCTCAAAGTGGTTTTAATTTATTAATCCTGCACACTCTGTGTCACAACGTGGTTAATCTCGCAGGCAATGCAACGCAAAGGTTTTAAGAAGGCAGCTTAGATACAGCTTCTTAGTCAAGAATTCTAAGGTTTAAATTGACTTCTAAATGACACCAAACTGAAAGCGGTTCAGTCGTGAAAGTGATGTTTGAGTTCGTCATTTAAAAAAGACTGGAGGCACAAAAGTACAGTATTTTATTGATGGATTCAACGGGCTGCACGTACCGTACATCATCTCCACAATAGTTAGGTTGAAGAGGTCTTGGAGGGCACGCAGACACAGCTTCCCATCACACAGCAGCACTGGCCTCCGCTCATCAATGAACACATTCTCTGATAACTGCTTCTGCAAACGCACAAAGAAGGACAAAGTAAAGGAGGGCTGCAGCTAAAAAGGATTTCTTTATTGACTGATTTATCAATAGTCAATCATTTTCTTGATTAATCAGTCAGTTGTTTGTCAGAAAACGGTGAAACATGTTTATCACTGTTTCCCAAAGCCCAAGGTAACAAAAAAGATAAACGCTGTTATAAAAGTTAGTCAATATCTTCATATGATATCTGATAATTAAATACACATTAAACTCTTGCAGGGATTATGGTAGCCTTGTTTCTTCTAGCTAGGGTTGTTATCCCTGCACAGTCACAAATACACACAGAAAACGGAGTAAAACTGTACCTGACATGTGACATTGACATAGGGGGGTTCACAGGCATTGGGGTAGACAGTCAGCGCCTTCTTGCCATTCTGGGTATAATCTCTGATTTCTGTCAGGCACTGCTGCACATCTGCGAAGCGTGTAAAAAGCCTCTCCATGTTGTGAACGAGCTGCTCCAGTCCGCGCTCCTTGGCCATTTGGCCCGGGGTCTTCTCAGGCATAGGCAGCGTCGGGTCTGAGTGAAGCTTGTCCGACGGCTCCAGGCGAGGAGAGCTGGACCGGCTGGAGTCTCTGCTGGCCTGGCCGGCCACCGCCAGGCTGGACATGCGGTTGACGTGGTCCATGTCGAAATTTTCCACCGTGATGGAGGACGTACTGGACAGGGCTCTGTCTGACGCTCGGTCAGAAAAGTCCACAGAGCTGGTGACGGGGCTGGGCTCACCGCTCCTCACCTCCTCCACCAGCCTGCGCCTGTTAGCTGGTGAACGAATTACCCCCCCTCCAGGCAACACCAAGTCCTTTATCCCTGGGCGCTCCCTCTCATCCTTAGATAGGTGCTCTGAGTGCCTTCTAATCCTTGGGCAGAAATTAGAGGTGGACTCATGGTTGTGAGCAGACGGGGATGGCGGGATAGGAGTGTCTCCGTCGTACATCCACTCTTTGGCCATGAGACGAAGAATGTATTTATCTGTGTTAGAGGACGGAAGGAAGGCAGGGTCGTTGGACTTCTGCCTGCCCACCATCAACAGCAGCATATTGTCACTGAGGAAGCAGACTCCTTTGGGCCTCTCGTTTGTCTGTAGAGATATCTGCTGAATGTTCGGCATGGCAGAGGCGGTGATGCAGTACACAAGCACCATGTTGCAGGTGTTGGAAGCCACTGCAACTGTGGAGCCACGGGGGTCAAAAGCCACAATGTCCGGAACCAAAATCCCTGGGATGCTGACCTTGCGGGTGGTGGTGACTTTACGCTCATAGGTGACCAGGATGAGGTGCGAGGAGTCCTGGCCAGAGCCTGTCATGGTGTCTCGTCGACGCAGGTGAATAAGGGGGCTGGGGTCGGAGCGACGGTGCCTCGCCAAGAGGTGGGTGAGGTCTAGAGGGCCCGAGCTGGGGAAGAAGGACCTGTCCGATTCAGACGATCTTCTTCGCGACTCCAGCGGGCTGTCTTCATCTGAAGTGGCGCCATGCGAGCCGTGGCCATGCGGGGATTCGGCCTCTGGCGGCACGTCGAAGGACATGCCGGCATTTAACCCGCAGATTTTATCCAGAGGCAGCTCTGTAGCCACAGCTACTTGAGCCTCCCCCGTGGCCTCGATGGCACAGATGTAGCCTCCCACATCAAAGATGGGGCAGAAGGAGCAGGCCACCAGACTCTTCTGGATGTCATTCCAGATGTAAGAGTGAAGAGCACTGCCGATAGCCACCACCAGGCGCGTACCATCCTTAGTCCAGCACGCACAGTGGATGAGTCCACTACCTTTTATGTCTGCTTTAGTTCTCCTGTTGTCCACCCTGACAGAAAACAACACAGAAGTGTCCCTCTTGGTCAGCACAGCCAGAATGTCCAGTTTAGGATGCCACACACAGCCTTGGGAGAGCAAGGGGAAAGGCTCACTCATCTCACAGGTCTGAGTGCACAGCAGCTTGTTCTGCTCGAGGGCACTGAGCTGCAGCTGCCACACGGTTACATGTTTCTTGTGCTGAACAGCAAGCAAGGCAGGGGAGTCAGAGCAGCAGAGCGGGCCCCAGAAGAGCCCGAAGACATGCTCAAACTGCCCGATTACATTAGTGTCCCCAAAGTTCACCTCGCCATTGATGCAGTAGAAAGCCGTCAGGCAGACCTGCTTGCCGTCCGTCCAGGCTATCCCGTGCACCGGGTGGATGGCTTTGTGTAGAGTGTTGAGACCTGTCCTAAGTAGCTTTGCCTTACCAAGATCCATCCTGGCAGGTACGAACACGCTTTTTTTAAAGAGAAAGAGAAAAAAATATGACTCAGTAAGTTGACATTGATGACAGAGACTGTATCTGATGTGAATGGGTCCTGCACTAGAGTAGCTATGGCTACCTATGCAGATTAAGAATAGCAAAAAGCCTCTCTCCTGTCTCCTTCCAAGTACATGCCTTAATCCACTCTGCCTGAGCTGAGGCAGTGGTGACGAACACTTATAGCTGCTTATGCCTGAATGACCTTAACAACACACCGGTCCTGTTAGGACCTCAGGGCATTAACAGTACTATGGGTTGAGTTGACAGTATTTACTCTTTTAGATCTGGTGAAACAGCCATGATCACTTTGGACAGACGAGGTCGTCCCCTTATCAAATAGAGACGTTGTTCCTCATCAAGTGCGATATGTCAAAAGAGTAAGATAAAGAACATTTGTTTTCATTCATTTATTTTTTATTTTAAATATTATTAGCAATTGTCAACTTTGATACTGGAGTGCATTAACTTGATTTAAATTGTAATATAACAACTGTATATACTGCACTGTACTTGATTGATTGATTGATTGATTAATTAATTCGATTTTGGGATTATCAGACACAGGTAAAAAGAACAAAAGTCCAAAGGATAACTCTTGTTAAAGTGAAAAACACTACTTTCCAACATGGTCCCAAAATATCATGAGAGAAAAAGAAAACACAAAGAAGCACAAGACATTCAGCACAATCCTGAGATCCAAAAGCACATCAAGAAAACAAGGATGTCTTTGCAAATGTCATTACAATTCTGTTTGTTTCTGTTTCATAAAAAAAGTAACCTAACCTGACCTCTATAAGCCCCTCTCATATCTAAAGACTTGAGCTGAAGCCTTGTTACAGGATGATGTTGCATATATTAGCAGTTATTAACAGTTATTACATGTGTCGTCAAAATGAGAAGGTTACAAACTTATCCTCCATTATGAGACACATAAGTTTTCCAGTTCACACTCACAAGTAATCATTGTATTTAGTCACCGTTTATATGTGGCAAGCTAACTAATAATATACTTTTATACTTCTATCACATACTTGTACTCTACACTTACCTTATAAAAGCGAAAGCATCTCATGTGGAGTCCATGTGAACCGCTGAAAGTGGGTTTCTCGTCTATTAAATCACGTTTTGCCGGTTGAAATGTGTCTCTAACGTTCACTTCTATTCAACTCGGAAGCAAAATGAACTGCAGTAACGGTGCATTGTGGGATATGTAGTTGAATTATAGTCGTCTTGCTTTTGTCATCTTGTCCGCTCGAGGGCGCTGCGTGTGTTAATGTGAATTGCTGGGCAGTTTAAGGTAAAAATAAATAAATATATGAATGAATATGAATTTACTACATTAAAGAATATAGCTAACAGAAGATGAACAATAACCTGGCATAAGACAGCGGTTGATAAACAAACATTTGACCGCTTGAAACTCAACTCAAGTCAGTTTTATTTGAAAAGGCTGAAGACGACGTACGTGGTGTAGTTGTCGATCTCGACGCTGTCTCGCTCCAAACGGGAAAATATCTTGTCTGTCTCACGGTTGGCTGCAGCTACGGGTCGGTAGTGGTCGGTGAATGCATGGTTTCCACCGATACAGCCCGACTTGTATCCGCAAAACGGGTAACGTCGGCTGTCGAGACGGCTTTTTAGGCTTTATGTTTCAGAGCTAGCTCATTTTTTGAAGTAGCACAACCATGGGTGTGGAAGTCGAGACAATATCTCCCGGTGATGGTAAGTTGATTTATCCGCTTGTGTGTGCTTTGATGCGGGGGTGGTGGTGGAGGTCGGGGTTCGGTAGTTCCCCGGAATGTCGTTCAAATCTTGTTTAATATCAGCATAATTTACATAAAATATCAAGTCCACTGGTATATGAGGTAAGGGAATTTAGTCGTTAGATAGCTAACAACTGATAGCAGTATTTCTGATATGAGTAGGGGTCTTAAAGCTCGATTATTTTACTGAGTTAGTCATCATCACTTTACGCTGCACGGCATCTTTCTAGAACTCTCCACACTTTACTGTTAAATGGAGTAACGTTAAGTCTGACAAGCTTAAACTGTAAGGCTCTTTAAACTGAGTATTTGTCGAAGCTTATTTCTTTCCGTCCAACGTACTAATAATGTAATTAACCAAGAGGCATTTGATAGCCCCTCACCCTGGAAAAAGAAGCCTCCTGGCTAAAGTTTCAACATGACGGTGAGACCAACACACTCATATCTGACTTCAGTATGTCTGCTGGCATAAGATAGGTATGGCATTCCTCACCAGACGTAACCCAGTCATTGTTAATCTACAAGATTAGCCTGGCAGCCCCAGAGGCTACAAACACACAATAACACTGTTTTCTCTTTCTTCTTAACAGGAAGAACATTTCCAAAGAAGGGCCAGACATGTGTTGTTCATTACATAGGTAACTAACTCTCTTTGCTTTTGGCAATCATGAAACCAGACGTCTTTCCTGTCTCCTTGTTGAGGGAAGAAATTTGTCACAGTGTGTGTATGTGTGTGTGTGTGTGCGTGCTGTTGTTGATGTTTTTTTGACAATACATATGAGCACAACAGGGCTCAGTTTGCTCTCTGTGAGACATGTATTCACCTGTGTGTGGCTTACGGTTTCAAAGATAGGGTGGAGCTGTCGCCACACCCAGAGATAAAGGATTCTCCTTTGTTTTGATGGAGAAGTTGGGTGTCTCATGGCGTCAGTGGCATTTTAGAGACGGCTAAAACTTGAATGTGCACGCACATAGTACACTCTTGTACACACACACACACGTTTTCTTTTTTCCTGTTTGCCTCCTGTCAGATTGCCCAATTTCGAGGCGGGGCAGTAAGACGGCGAGACGTTTGGCAAATAAATTTGGGTTATTCTGTGCCCCGGGGTTGGCCGTCCAGACAACTAGGTCAGACAGAAAGTAAACAAAGCCTAGTTCACATGTCATCACTGTCTGAGTATCACAGCGTTAGTACATGCTTATAAAAGTTATTGCACAACCCGTAGCGTTGGCCCTGTGGTAAATAAGTTTAATTCAAGAGTGCGAGTATTGTTTTATTGTGTGTATGCATGTGTTAGTCTGTAGCCCATTCCTGCATGTCCCTGATGCTGGGGATTTCCATCGTTTGAAATGTTTCAAAGAATTTCTGCTTTGTTTGGACTAGTGCGTGTGTGAGTAGTCAGAAAGAGGCCAGCTCTGGATAACAAATGGTGCGTTGTTCGGCTTTTTGGGACAGTGGGAAGAACTAAAACAGATTTCCCTTTGGGCCTGATCCCTGCAGAGATCAGCTTCTGTACAAGTTTTGCTATAATTGGAAATGTCAGCATGTGAAGCTGCACAGAGAGGGGTTTGGTACTCACCCTTTGCCCGTTGGTATTGTTTCTCTCGACCTAGCGTTAGTTGGATAGTCAATAAGCAAAAGCAGGTGATGAGTTTCAGCACCTCACGCCCCCACTCTAGAATCAAACCTACTTTGAATGCACCTCTTGTTTTTCTGTGTTCATTTCCTGTGCTCCGTTGTCACAGTCATATCATTGACGTCTGTTTTCTGTCTACTCATCAAATCTCTGAAAGGAACAAACCTGACTACAGTTTGCAATATCTGTTAACACCAGGATGTGCAAGAGCCTGGGAATGGTCTCTGTGGTTATTTAGAGGAAATGTAGTACTTTTGAAGGCGCACAGAACAACCTTGTTCTTTGTTCGAGTTAGAGTCCTGCCCATCTCTCTTTTTTACTCTTCCTCTTCATCTCGCAGGATTTATCCATAAGCTCCTGGTATTTTGGCAGCAGTGGCACACAAAATGCAGAGTTAAGCCAAAGCAAGGACCTCGCTATAAATATGTTGTTGTATCGGCAGGGGAAGTGTGTTCGCTGTGGGTAGATGAAATATAATACACTGGTATTTAAAAGTAGATCTGTACACCGTGTGAAAATCAGACTGTAGTGTTGAACGCAAGCCAGGAGATTAGTCGAAGAATGTTGTTTTCTTAGAGAAAATTGTCAGAGCGTTTGTATTTTCATTAGTAGCATTAGCGGTACCTCAGAGGGAGGCACCTGTGAACAAGTCACACATCATAAAATGATGCTTGAAAGAGGTACTTTCTTTTTACTTTACATTTGAATTGTGTTAACCTGGTGGGAGGACTTAACAGGCAGAACGTAATTCACAGAGGAAATACACTTCTATTTTGGTTGATCCCTATTAATTGGTGTAGTTAGCCAGCGTGGTTTATCCAGAAATGTATATGAAAGTTAAATGAATGACATTTTAAGATTACATGTTGTCTTTCAGGTCAGTGCTCTAGTAAATACAGAGACTAATGCATATTTGTTTAGTTTAAAAGCGCAAATGCAAGATCAGTGGAAGATCTGATAATAGATAGTACTAGTAACAGAGGTTAGCTGTAGATTTGGAACATAAGCCTTTCCGAAATCCTCCAGCTGGCTGCTAGTGCAGAGCCACAGACTGCACCCTCCACTGCACCGTGCGCTGGTGTTAGTTTTCCAGATAGCAGAGCAAAGATAAACAGTAAGGGTAAGAAGAGAGTGATTTCCCAATACATAATGGGATTTGAAAGCACTCTGTTTCCAGCCTTTAACATGAGGGAGCCTCATTCTCCCAGAAATTCTATCACACACTCACTGCCGTGCCCTTTTGATCCATACTTTCACTTCTGGGATTTTAAACATGCAGACACACACACACATGCCAGAGCACACAGATACGTGAGTGACCCCCTCTGACTCTAGTGAGAGTTGTGGTTGCCCAAATTAGCAGAGTGCTCATTGCCACAAGGCAGCTACGGGCTCTGGCTTCATGAAAGTGGCAGGACAGAATAATTAGAAAGGCTGCTCGCGCTTCCACACACACATTCTCGTTTCTGTCATGCCTGACTGCAGGTCTGCTCACAGGGCAGCAGCTCTATCTACAGCAGTGTTGCACAGACAGGCAGGCTGGCGTGGGTCAACTCGGCCTGAGATGTGTTGTCATCTGTTTTACTCTCGGTTTATCTTTCACTGGCCTTGCTATACTTTCACGCACCTACACACTGAGCTGCCCAGTCCAGCTAAAAATGTATCTATGTGTATGTATGACTTGTAAGGCTAAAGGTAAATTGGCTGATTTGTCAGGCTGTCACTGAAGAAAGAAGAAAATGGAAGCAAATCTGCTATCAGTCAATATGAAGAAGAGCGCAGCAGACTGTGGGTTTCCGTGATTAATGAAGTTTATGACGATAAACAGCCCGGTCTCAAGACACATGCGCTTTAAGAGCAGTAACCCTTACTGGATATGATGTCATGCCTAAATGTGGACGTCATTCCTTACCATGTTTGAGCTCCAGACTTCACCATGAAACGTGCTGAAGTTGAGACCTAAAGGCCTTTGGTGTGTGACACAGAAATAGACTGAAACAGCGGTTTGTATGTCAGGAGATGCCAAACTCGCCTCCTGAAGGAGAATGTTGCGATTGAGCGCCGTGCCGTGCTGTGGGAAGTGTTCAATCCCCATATTGCAGAGTTAAAGAAATCAAGAAAAGAACTGATGTACAGCCTATAAATTAGGACAAAACATCCTGAATCAGCTTGAGCTTTTGCTGAATTATTGAATCCAGGCGTCCTGGTAGGGTAACACTACACCATTCAATATTGAGTTGTCTTGTGTCTGACGGGCCTTTCACAGCTTGTATTCTGATAGAAAGTAGGCAGAATATCTTCATGCCGTACCCTGGTAGTGATAATAATAATACAATACATAAAGAATTATCCAGCAAAGCCCACTGGTCCACTGAAGAGCCAGGACACCCCATAGCTTGCTCAGAACTGACTCTTGTTTGGCATGTATTATGATAGTATTAGAGTAACTTTTAAGCCATTGCCGAGGATCATTTTCACGCTATCCATGCCCCGGCAGTAAATTAGCTATTTATTGTCCATGCTGAAAATACTTGTAATTACACATCACACCCACTGCCCATTTGTCACACGTGACATATGAATGAAGCATGATTAAGATTCAATTATTTCCAGTGAGGCGAGCATGCTTGCAGCCGTAACATGCGGCGACACATATAAGTTTGTCACAGATGGATAGCTTTACACGCATCTCGTTTCATCCACACTTTTGCGGGGGTTGTTGTGCTGGCAACAGTCCTAGACGGGGACGAGACAGGATACAGTAAACGGAGTAAAAATAACCCCACCCCTGTGCGCCATGGCTTTTTGCAGAACTAGCCGGAGCACTACCGAGTGAAAGCCTTTCATGAAGAGAGAGTGTGGGAGCCAGCCTCAGGAAGGGACGGCTCCGGCTTTATTTTTGCTGAGACCCCACCCATTGTTAGTTTTCCAAATAGTGATAACAGAGGACTGATACAAGTGTGGTGTAGGAGCAGTTTTGGATGTTTGTTTGTTTTTTTGCTTCCCTGCAAAATGAAGCCACTGAGTGAAACATTTATGCATCTGTAGCCTAGTTTATATACTTCACATAGACTTTCAGTACATGTGCAGTTTACAATTTTAAATCATGCTGTAAATTAGTGAAATATTCAACTCTATATTTCTTTTCAGAACAATGCCGCTGTGTATTTTGTTCCACAGGAAACAATGAGCAGGTGGTGTTTTTGCAGTTGTGTCCAGTGCGAACCACAGTCCCTGTTTCTCGTAACCCCTCTGTCATGTTAGCTACTCCTTCAGTGCAACGTGGAGGAGCCTTTACCAACGAGTGTTGAAAAATACCCCCTTTTTACGTCAGCAGCATCTGACACCTAAATCAACCGGCAGGAGTCATTAGTGCATCGCTCAGGATATGATCCCTCACTGGCTTCCCACTGGTTAACATTGCCAGTCAGTGTTTCCTTGCATGTTGCAGCCACCGCTGCCAGAAACTGAACCCGCTTTTCTGCAGTTGACGCAAGAAGGTTTTGCCCCTCTGCCACTCGAGTGCCCTGTAAGCAGGTGGTATTTGCCTCGGTGTGTGCACTTGATGACTCCATGGTTGGATCGAGCCCAGCCTGCTGATATCTGGGCTGCTGTGATTCTTGGAAATGGCGCACCTACTAAGTTTAGGTGGGATGAAAGGAGAGAAGCAGTACAGTACCAACATTCATATGACCAGATGAGCCAGACACCATCACTAAACTTCAGTTAGCACGTAACTTTAAATGCCAAGTATTCACACTTGTTGAATTACGACAGAGTAAGATAAATCAAAGGACTATCACAGAGCAACCTCCAAAATGTCATGTCCAAAAAGTGGATGAAATTCTTTGCTTGATGCCACTTTGACTGCCTGTGAGACTGTGAACCAGGGTTAAAAAGTGAATTGTGTTAATGTTGTTCTGTATCATAATATTGATACAAACCATAATATAGTAAACCTTCTGGAAACTGAATTGAGATACAATGTAATTCAATACCCGACAGATGACAGTTAATTTCCCACAATGAATAAATGTATTACATATGTTGTGTATTTCTCTTAGAAAGCTTGGTATAATGTAGGATATTGACAAGGTGAAACTCATGTCTGTGTCTTTTTACCCAGATTGAGACTAATCATGTGACATTAATGAGCACAAATTCACACTCATTGTTTCAGTGACTATGCTAATCTTCCTGGTTTGTTTGTTTTATAATGGAATTTTGTTTTTGAAGTCATATATTGTGCCCTTCTTGACAAGCACTGCATCTCAGCTAGCTTGGCTGTCCAAAGGGTGATAATGGAGGACGGATACTGGTGTAGTGTAGGAGCAGTTTTGGATGTTTTTTGCAAAATGAAGCCACGAGTGAAACATCTAACCGTTTAGCCTAGTTGTCTTCATATATGTCGTAGCAAAAATGTATATATGACTTGCTCTCTTGGATGTTAAAAGAACAGAACGTCAGAACGTCAGAACTTGGCTTCAGATGGCAGCTTGGATTCACTCAAAGGAAAGCGGCCATAAGAAGTCAATGAGAGCATGGTAAAATGTCTGATAAAGTGGGGCCATTGTCTCTGTGCCTTTAGTAATGTGTAATGGCCCCCAATCTTCTTATTATCATGTCTAAATGGTCGGTCAGTGTTCTGAGGGAGCAGAGCATTGCTCCGCCTTTGTTACCCATTTCTCCCTGTGGTCTAGATACAGGCAAGCAATGGCCTAGTTAACTTAAAAAAAAAAATCCACTAAACCAGGCCAATGCTTCCTGAATTAACATTCCCTTTGTTCATTTGGGTAATTTAAACAGACTCAAGATCCTGATAAGAAGCCCCGTCAGAATGATTCCTCAGACTGGAGCCAGCATTGCTTTACTCCTTTAATCTTAAAATGCCTCATTCCAAATCATTAGCTACTGAGGAAAGGGCGTGCATTGATCTGGCGTCATGCTGATAAATGATAGTGAATAAGGCTAGGCACTAGTCACAAGAGCAGTTAACTGTACAAGTGCAAAAACCAGCCATAAAAATAAGTGTTCACTTTATTTTGTATTCAGCAAAATGTGTATATGGGTATTTTTCTAAGCCAGATACTATTGTACTCTCTGCATTTTGTTAATGTATTTCCTCTTTGGCAGGTATGCTGCAGAATGGGAAGAAGTTTGACTCCTCTCGAGACAGGAACAAGCCCTTTAAGTTCAAGATCGGACGGATGGAGGTCATTAAGGGCTGGGAGGAAGGAGTAGCACAGGTAAAAGTGAAGGGAATCCACCTTTTTGATGGTAGCTAGAAGTTAACTTATTCATTTATATTTTTGATGGTTGTTTAGAATAATAATCTTAAGTGCTAAAGGGAAGCTCTGGCATCCGAGACTGAGCTTCTTCTTCTTCTTCTACTAAGCAGCAGCAATTTAAAAGTGGTACTCCTCCCAGAACTACAAACGTTTTATACTGCCTTTGAAGCCGTTTCTGATATACTAAAAAGATTTTGGTTGGAGTATCAGTTTAATGTGCCACCAAACTTTACTCATGTGGTTTGTGTTGTGTTTGTTATGTGGCTCACTGTCTCACTGCCATGTCTGTTGATGTGTAGGGCTGTTAAAACGGCATAAAAATGAGCATACTCAGTTTTCTCTTTCTCCTGCACTTTAGATGAGCCTGGGCCAGAGGGCAAAAATCACCTGCACACCAGATATGGCTTATGGAGTGACAGGCCACCCCGGGGTCATCCCCCCGAACGCCACTCTTATATTCGATGTGGAACTGCTCAAGCTGGAGTGATGCCTGGGGTTTAATGTGAAGGTTGAAGGTTAATGAGGCTGCCTTCGCCACAACCTGTTTCCACAGGGAGACCATACTCGGCTGCTGCCTCCCACCATCCACCTGCTCTTCTTCTTTTTTTGATTTCTACAGTCTTCTTTTGTTCAATATTTAAACATACCTACTGCTGCTTTGTTGCCATTTTGTCATAATAGATACTGCAAGAAAATGTCCACATCACGCAAGACTTTTTCACACACACCGCGGTTTAGTTTCTGTTTGTTAGTCAGAGATGCTATTTTATTGAATTACATTTAAAGTTGTACATTTTGTTGAACCATGAGGAAATCTGATTAAAAGCCGTGCTACATTACAATCAAAACATATACTGCCTTACAGTTTCAACAACAGAGGAAGGGTACGTATGTTGAAAGTACATAACTTCTGCTCTGTATCTTAACTGGGCATTACATACCACTGTCTGCATTGCCACTTTGATGAAGATTTGTCCTGCTGAATGCTCTGAATGATGTTGCTATGTTTAGTATATTTTATATCCCTCATACACATTTACTGCAAGTGTACCCTATCCAATCTAACCCAATACAATACTGTACAGAACTCTGCAAGAGCCATTGCTACTAAGACAGTTTATCGACCAACTCTTGAATAAAAATGGCATGCACTGTCTGTGTTGACAAATCTGTGTCCTGTGTGTGATTTGTGAGTGAGTGATTAAGTTATAATAGAAAGAATGCCAAACGAGTTACTGTATGTCTGACAGGGGCTTCTTCAGCAATACCGCCCCCTAATGGCACACTTTATAAAGATGTACAGCAGCGTAGTGAATGGGCACAAATGGTGGGAACTGAAGTATTTACAGTGACTGATAGTATCCATCTTACACAGCAAATGGAATGAATGAACCACTAACATTTAGTTCATATCAATCAGTCCTCGTAATCACTGAATGTACTGACAACAAGCTGGCGTTGCTGATCTCTACCAAATGCAACAATCTTGAATGTTATATTTACTTCCGGTGTCCTAGGTCAAAGTTCACCCGCTGACGGGAGCGTGCCATTGGCTGACTGTTAATGTTATGAAACTTCATTGGACAGACGGACACACGCCTTTCGTCAGTCTAAGAGAACACAACAGACGACAAGGTCAGAAATGTATCTTAAAATATGTAGATATGTAAACATGTGTGCTGTTAAATATAGTGACCTGCCTACAAAATGGCTGATGTTAGCGGACATTCATACACGAATGGTTTATGTTGAGGTTATTTAGATAACAGTCACCGTTAGCTGTGCTCAGCACTATAGCTATTGTGTCAACATTAACCTACACGTGTTTTTACTAGTTTTCTATTCATTATAAAAGTTCCCATACTCGTCCACAGGGATTTAATCATTTTCTGTCTTCTTGACTTTTAGAAAAGAGGATATCCGGCTAGCTCACCTACCCTGTGATGCTAAAGCAGCTAGCGTAATGTTGACGTTGTCGCTGTCAAACAGTGTCACCCGTGAAGTGGAAATACCACACGATAGCTGCCCAAACCTCAAATGATTCTTTTCAGCTTTCCCTGTGTGACTGAGCTGAACTGAGATGCAGTAGCAGCTCTGCATTACTGGTTAGCCTTATGCTCATCATCCCCCTAAAGAAAGTGTCTCACTGTGGTACGTTGGTGGATGAGGCTTTCTCCTCTAGCTACAGCATGAACAGCCTTTTAGGGGTGTGTTAGGCTTTGTTATAGAAGATGAAATGGGACTCATTAGTGTTAAGTCCATGTGTACTGGCACCACTAACTCACCACATCACTTCATTATTGTTCCTCATGTCTCCCTCAGGTGCTCCATGTGTGTCTGACTGAGACAACAGTGAGCATGCTGACTGCACAGAGGGCATGTGCAGCGATGGCTGCGCGGCACCTGCTTAGAGCTTCTGTCACCTCAGCGCACACACACCGCTGTCTGATCCACACTTCCATACCATGTCAGGACCAGGCTGAGCTGCTTCCTGAATGGGCCAGTCTGGCTAAGAAACAGCTGAAGGGAAAGAACCCGGAAGATCTTATCTGGCGCACGCCTGAGGGAATCAACATCAAGCCTGTGTACACCCAAGCAGACTCAGCTGGCAGAGCGGATGAATTGCCAGGGGTGTTTCCGTACACTAGGGGGCCCTATCCCACCATGTACACCTACAGACCTTGGACAATCAGGCAGTATGCTGGCTTTAGCACTGTGGAGGAGAGCAACAAGTTCTATAAAGATAACATTAAAGGTAGGCCTACATTCAAACCTGTGCATCCATTCATTATTCTCACCACTTCAGATCTATTGTGCATTTACATGTTTTGTTTCCTTCGACATAGATTTTTGGACATCATGTCCATGAAACACATCTGAACCCTTTATTCAGATATTTTAACCTCATTATTATACTAGAGGCTGCACTTTGAATTACACAATTAGAAAACTAGCTTCATGAAGATGCAAAGACTGTAATTACTGTGGCATTGTATGGTCAAATATGTGTCATGCAGATGTAATCAGACTGTCCTTCAGAGAAGTGGACAGAAATTCAGAATAGTGCAGCAAGGCTGTGTATTTAATTACCATAATTACCATTGCCTCCTCCAGCCATCAGCAAGGTGAAATAAAGCAAAGGTCAACTTTGAATGTCTAAGTTCACCATTCATTAGTACTTCAGAGGCGGCACAAAACACTTTTGGTGGGCACAAACCAACAAAATACTTCAGAATAAAGTTAGATTATATAGATGGTTTGTGGTTGTTTTTTGTTTATGTCAGTTGATGTTTTCAGTAATGTTTGTTTAACGTTCACTCGTTATATCCCCACATTCTCGCAGGTTCTAATTCGCTATCTCTTTCATTTTAGCTGGACAGCAGGGTCTTTCCGTGGCTTTTGACCTCCCAACGCACCGCGGTTATGACTCGGACAACCCCCGAGTCCACGGAGATGTCGGCATGGCTGGAGTCGCTATAGACACAGTGGAAGACATGAAGATGCTCTTTGATGAAATCCCACTGGAGAAGATGTCTGTTTCAATGACAATGAATGGAGCCGTTATCCCTGTGCTGGCCATGTTTATTGTGACTGGAGAGGAGCAGGGCGTATCTAAGGCGAAACTAACTGGCACGATTCAAAATGATATTTTGAAGGAGTTTATGGTACGCAACACCTATATTTTCCCCCCGGAACCTTCCATGCACGCCATTGCTGACATCTTCGCTTATACCTCCAAGGTACCTACCGAATAAGTATTGCTTAAGTGATCAGCTTGTATGGGGCTTACTTTTTGTCATGCTGTTATTATATGTAATACTGGGATTTTTATCACTCTCTGTGTTACCAGCATATGCCCAAGTTCAACTCCATATCCATCAGTGGCTACCATCTTCAGGAAGCTGGAGCTGATGCCATCCTGGAAGTAGCCTACACCATCGCTAATGGCCTGGAGTACTGCCGCACTGGTCTGAAAGCAGGTTTAACCATCGACGAGTTTGCCCCAAGGTACAAAATATTAAGGTCTTGCCTATGTCCTGAGGAGACTGGTTTGGATTTACGTATTTGTAGCTCACAGTTAGGGTCGGTTAATGTATTTTTAAATATTATTCACAAAGCGAGCCTGCGATATTACTGACAATAATCATGTATGTTAGTAACACCTGAGCTCATGCCTCCTTTTTATGTTTCAC